CCCCAAAACCCCAAAACCCCAAAACCCCAAAACCCCTAACAATAAACCTTTTATTGAAACATAAACTTTTATAATTCGCTCATAACCAAACCCGCAAATTCAAAACTCATTCTAAAACACAAAAAAAAGTTTAAAACAACTCTCAATGCCGATTAAAAGAAAACCCAAAAAAGAGCCCAAATACCACGATTCCCCACCTCCGTCACCCTCACAGGACCCAAACCCTCCCTCGCCCAGAAAGCTACGCTACCTAAAAGCCATGAAAGAAATGACCGGATCGTACACATGCCACATCTGCAAATCCCTCATCCTCATCGCTTTCTCCACCTGTGAAACCCACACTACCGTCTGTTCCTTCTGCCGCCTCCCATGCTGCTCCGAGCCCACCAGCATGATCCAGATCTTCTGCAGGAAAGGGCTGCACGACACCTACATTAGGCGGTGCTTCTCAGCCGCGAAAAATACTGACCTGGAGAAATCTGTTCGTGACGAGCATGAGAAGCAGGTCGAAGTGATTAATAAGTGGATCAAGGAGGAGAGATTGAAGGGATATGGAGTACAGGCCATTGACTCTGAAGAAGAGGCTGATCCTGAAGATTTTTTTGGGGTCTTAGGGGATGTTAAGACTGAGGTTAAGACTGAGAAGTTGGAGAAGGAGGAAAAGAAGGTGGAGATTGAGGGGAGAATAGTGAGAGAGATTATTAAGGCAGAGGAGCTAGGGATGGTGGAAGGAGAGGAGAATGAGGAAATGAAGGATAGTGATGAAGAGATGCAGCAGGAAATTGAGAAGGAGATGCATCATATGGGAGAGGATAAGATTGATGAAGGTAGAAAGAAGAATTGGGAAAGTAAGAAAGAGAAAGTTCCAAGGGAAGAATCTCCTGATACTCAAAGGGAAGGTCAAGATGTGAAAATTCCAAATCCAAAAGATTCCGAAGTGGAATCTCAAGCTTCCAAAAACAAACTCTCTGATACATCAAATTCAAATAAAACTCTTCACAAAAAACCTTCTTTAGAACATGATAAAGCTAAAGAACCATCTCAGAAACTCCTTCAGAATAAAGAGGAATCTAAACCTTTACTCCAGAAAACACTCCAGAAGCAAAAGCTTGATACCTCCAAAGAAATTTCTAACCCAAAGCCCAAAGAATCTACAAAACCTCCTCAAAACCCTACAAATAATCCAAAACCAGAACAAATCTCCCATCAAGAGAAGCCAAAAGCCTCTACCAAACCTCGAGAGAAACCTCAAAATTTCCCAAAACACCCACAAAAGAAAGAGAGCTCAAAGAAAAAGCTTCAAGAGTCCTCACTAGTCGCTCAAAAACAGAAGACTACCCCTAAAGAGATTCCTAAAGAGACTCCTAAAATCTCTAAAACATCTCAAATTCATCCAGAAACAACCGAAAGGGTACCCCAAGAGCAGAAAGATTCTGGAGCAACACTCTCAAAAGAGGAGTTAAGAGATAAATTGCTGAAGGATTGCCAATTAGATGAAGATATTGAAGAGGAAACCAAGGCCAGCAATAAAGGTGGAAAATCTGAACCTCTCCCTGTTGAGGAAGTGAAAGAAATCTCGAAGAGGAAGAAAAAGGAACAAGAAGAATTAGCGAATAAGTTGTATCAAGAGTCTGTTGATTCAATTAATAAAGGTTCTGTTAAACCTCTTCCAAAACCTGTCAAAAAGATACCAGCTACAGAATCTAAACCTCCACAGCCTCAAAAATTGGTCACCTCTCAATCACCCGATTTATCCAAGAAGCAAGATGTGGAGATGGAATCTGAACAGCCAACAGAACCAACAGAATTATCGCCTGATCCTTTCCAAAGAGCCATTGACAAAGATATAAAGAGAATAAGAGACATATTAGATCCATTTATACAGAAGATACCTGAAGATATGGAAGTCGATGAAGCCATAGAGATATTCAGAGATTGACACAAAGTCTCTTCCCTAGCAATAGATACCGTCAGACTGTTTTTAGAAATGAGGAAAACTCCAGAAGATATCTCAATTCCGAAGAAAGAGATAGAAGATGTCCGTATTGAGTTGGGGAATCTAGCTGACATTAATTATGAAAAGGTCATAAAAGGTGTGAAAGCGAAGTATCAAGAGATCAAGTTTACTGCAAGAAGAATTGCAATCCCGGACTCATGAGAAAAAGATTATTATATCACTGAAGTCAGCAATAAATCTGATGCTGGAGATCAAAATTATAAAGCAAAATTGATATTCTCAGTCACTGAGTACACTCAAGAAGAATTATCTAAAATGTCAATTCAAACCACAAAAATTCCTTCCTTAAAACCCTCCATCACCACCCGTTCCAAACTCCAAAAAGCCTGCAACATCCACCTCCAAGTCCACCGTAAGTGCCTCGCCAGTTGCTACTCACACCTCCACATCAACCTCAGACTAAACTCTGTCCCTCTCCGGTACAAACTCCGCACCTTCACCGCCCCTGGCACATCCACCATCACCCTCGGTATCTCCAACCTCATTCCAAAATCCCTCCTCCACAACCTAAACTCCCCTACCTCCCTCACAATCTCCCTCTCTTTCTACACATCCTCTCCCTGCACAAGTCGTCTTCGCTCTTCGTCCATCTCCACTGCTTCCTCAGCCAGCTGCCTTACTACAGCCAGGGCTGAGCCAGCCAAGCTGGCTCAGAAAGCTGTTCAAGTGATGCTGGAAGAGGAGGTTATGAAGAAGAGATTGGAAGAGAAGGAACAGAAGGAACAGAGAGTGAAGGATTTGGAAGAACAAGTGAGAATTTTGAAGGGAATAATGGAGGAAGAGAAGAAGATGAAGGAGAAGGAAAATGAAGAGAGAAGAATTAAGGTGAAGAAGAGAATGGAGGAGAGAAGGGAGAAGAAGGATAAAGAGAGCGGGAAGAGGGAAAAGAGGAATGTAGAGGAGAAGGATGAAGAAGAAGACCAGGGAAAGAAGAGTAAAGAAGAATCTTTAGAGGAGGAAAAGAAAAAGGAAAAATCTGAAAAGGAAGAAAATTTTAAGAAAATTGCTGATCAAGAAGATAAGCAAAAGGAAATTTCTGAACAGGAGTCAAAACCGAAGATGAGTTCTTTAGTTAAGAAAAAGGCTAAAGAACCTTCTAAAACTAAGAAGAAATCTAAGAAAGATTCTTCGCAAAATGCTAAACCAAGAAGATCTCCAGATAAGAAAAAGAGAGAGAGGAAATTAAAAGAAAAATCTGCAAATAAATCTAAAGAAATAAACAAGAGAGATAAATCGAAACCTATAAAAAAGAAAGCTGAGAAAGAATCTAAACATTCAGAAATCAAAAAGATAGGAGCCCCAGCAGATACAGTCTCAACCCCAAGATTTCCTAACTCTTCAAGAGAATCAAGAAAGCTCAAAAGGAATAAAAGATCAAGTCCAGCCAATACACCAACTCCAAAATCCTCAGAATCAATCAGCCAACCTAAAGTTGGCAAAAAGTTAAAATCAAGCCAAAAACGTAACACCTCAAAATTACGCAAAAACAAGAAAGAAACCCAAAAATCATATCGTCGTCAAAAACCCAGTCCTCCAAGAAAACACTATTCCAGAAAGTACGCCAAAAAAGACTCCAAATCTCGCTATTCCAAATCTCCAACCCCTTCAAAAGGAAAATCCTCCAAAAGCAACACTCAAATTCCTTCATCCTCCAGGCCCAGAAAGAGCTATGGCTACTTCGGATTCTCCGGAAACAACCACAAGTCCCAAAACGAAGATCCTCAAAACATTTCAATACCAGAACACGACTCAGACGCAGACATTCAAAGTCCAGATAATTCTCCTAAAAACTCTCCGCCAGCTAAGCTACGAAGAAGCAGGCGTCCAAAGCCCTGGGCTGAGGAAGCCTCCATGACCCCAACCAGCCCTAAGGAAGAACCTAAAAGAAAGCCAAGGAAGAAGTCTAAGGGTAAGTCTAAACCTAAAGCTAAAGCGAAAGATAAGTCGAAGAAGAAATCGAAGAAGAATAAGAAATCAAGGAAGAAGGATTAAGAAATTAATTTTTTGGATTTATTTGTAATTAGTCAATTTTTAGAGGGTTTTTTGGGGTTTTGGGGTTTTGGGGTTTTGGGGTTTTGGGG